CTGCGCGGAAATCTCGGCGGCGGGGAGGCGGGGCGTCTGTGGGCAACTACACGACCCGGCATGCACCGCGCCACGAAGAGGGCGCCCATCTAGTCCCACCCCGGAAGATAAATCGGCTAGCCGGCGTACTGTTTCCTCTTTCGGCCGTGCTGAGAAGCAGGTAGGTAGTGTGTGGCCGTGCGGCCTCGGGCGCATCTGCCGCCATCCGCCGCCATCCGCCGCCGTCCCGCCGTCCGCCGCATTGGGCACCGCTGTGCGCCTCAGGGACTCTCCTAAGGGCGCAGGCGCGTACGGCTGGGATGGGGAGTCGGGTGGACGAGAGAGGGGGCTCGCAGGCTTGGGGGCGGGTCCCGAGATGGCTGATCTGTTAGGCAGGACGCTGACCGGGAGCCGTTTCCAGACTCGCCGCCATGGGCCGTGTAATCCGTGGGCAGAGGAAGGGCGCTGGATCCGTGTTCCGTGCGCACGTGAAGCACCGTAAGGGCGCCGCGCGCCTGCGCGCCGTGGACTTCGCCGAACGGCACGGCTACATCAAAGGCATTGTGAAGGTGCGGAGCGCCGGCCGAGGCGCGCGGGGGGAAGGGGTGCCCCGCGGAGGCGCCGGGCTCACAGCATCACTGCCAACAGGACATCATCCACGACCCCGGCCGCGGGGCCCCCCTCGCCAAGGTGGTCTTCCGGGATCCCTACCGGTTCAAGAAGCGGACGGAGCTGTTCATCGCTGCTGAGGGTATCCACACTGGCCAGTTCGTCTATTGTGGCAAAAAAGGTGAGCCTCGGCCGGTAGAGAAGGTAGGGCGGAGATGGGATGAGTGCTGCCGGTGGAAGCTTCGAGTGGGGCGATCCGCGTGGCCAGAAGGGAACCCATCGGTGTAGGAACCCTAACGTTAACTCCTGTGTTTACTGCCTTACGGGTTATGTAAGAAAGTGGGTTCACATTGTTTTCTGGGTGCTCTGACCACTTTGCCGGTGCTGCTTCTCTCTACAGCTCAGCTTAACATTGGCAATGTTCTTCCCGTGGGCACCATGCCCGAGGGTACTATCGTATGCTGTTTGGAGGAGAAGCCCGGGGACCGGGGCAAGCTGGCCCGAGCCTCTGGGAACTACGCCACGGTCATCTCCCATAACCCGGAGACCAAGAAGACTCGCGTGAAGCTGCCCTCCGGCTCCAAGAAAGTCATCTCTTCAGCCAACAGAGCGGTTGTTGGTGAGTGCCAGATGGTAGTCAAACGCTGAAGACCGGATGGTCAGGCTGTGAGCCATAACAGCTCACATAACAGCTATTAGACCTGGGCCCTGAAACTGAATTCCCTGCTTCCCTGAACTTGACGGCTTGAGTTGTCAGCTGTAAAGTGGGCAGATTAGTACCTACTAAACTGTTGGTTTGGAGCAGAAGGAAGTTGAGATTAGGCCCTTCTGTGTACATTGTGAGATTAACCTAGAATTCCTGGTTCCTGCACATGGGTTAACAGTTTTTTCATAGAAGACAAACTCAGATACTAGTGACTTCTCAAAGTTTATTAAGAGAGTGAAGAAGGATTTGAACTAGGTTTTCTCATTCTGTGCATGGCAACACCTTAGAATAGTTGGTAAATCCAGTCCTGCATAGGGTGGGTTCCGTGGATATATTCACAGAACAAACAAAGCTGCTGGGCAGTGGGGGTTGTCACTTGTCCTGGGGGTTTAGAGGTTGATTTTCCCTGGGAACTTGTGCTCAGTCAGCATCCTACATGACATGGGTGAGTGCTTTGGCTTGCTTACCCAGTGGCGCTTGAAGAAACTTTGTGTCAGATCACGGGATGCAAGAGTTGGATGCTGCTGAGCTTTTTGCCTGATGGCTGTTGAAGTACTTTGGCTTGTGGATAATACATGTGGTTGAAGTGCTTAGTGATGTGCCCAAGGGTGTGGGACACTTATAGGGGACCAATGGGAGCCCCTCTGACTGGAGGGGCTTGTGTTGTGATGTACATCCTTAATGTGCCTGATTTTTCCTATAGGTGTGGTGGCTGGAGGTGGCCGAATTGACAAACCTATCTTGAAGGCTGGCCGTGCCTACCACAAGTACAAGGCAAAGAGGAATTGTTGGCCACGAGTACGGGGTGTGGCTATGAATGTAAGTGGCCCAGAAGTGAGTGGGTGGTGTATCTAGGGTAGAAGAGCCATATGCATGACTTGATTAGGCAAGTTCTTTCCTGGGGAAGCCATAGGTGGTTATATATAGAGGCCTTTTTCAGGGGAGGGAGTACTCGGGATCTCACCCTTGTGAGGCAGACACTCTCTACCAGTTGAGTCATTCCATCAGCCCTGTTTTGTGGTTAGTATTTTCAAGATAGGGTCTCGAAAACTACTTACCTGGGGCTGGTTTCTAACCAAGATCCTCCTAATCTCTGCCTCTTCAATAGATAGGATTAGAGGCTTGAGCCACTTGTTCCTGCTTTGGTCTTTCCAAAGCAGGTGGGAGTTACCTTTACTCTAATGCCTCTAATGCCTTCTTCCTCTACCTGCAGCCCGTGGAGCATCCCTTTGGAGGTGGTAACCACCAGCACATTGGCAAACCCTCCACCATCCGCAGAGATGCCCCTGCTGGGCGCAAAGTGGGTCTTATTGCTGCCCGCCGGACTGGGCGACTCCGAGGAACCAAGACTGTGCAGGAGAAGGAGAACTAAGGCTGAGGGGATCAATAAAGTTTGTCCTTTGGCTATTAGGCTGTGTCTGCCTATTGTTTAAGAAGAGGGGTCCCTGCCATGGAGCCCTTCGGTACAGAGCAGAGGAAGGTGCAGGAGAGCCACCAATGAGAGTAGGTGCCAGGACCAGGAGCTTGCTCCCTACCAAGGGGACCAAGAATACAATACATGGCCTGGGACTTAGGTTGGTGGCCTAGTCTTACAGCCTGCAGTGCTGTGTACTTACTCTGCCTTGGATTCTCACCAGTGTGTGTGCTGTACTCTGATGGCTTCCCAGTTTGTAGAAGCAGCCCTGTGCCCTGGACCATCTGGCAACACTCCCCTTCAAAAAGTGGTGGTGCCCTGACCTCAGCATGTTGTGAACTTGCTTCCTCAAGTGCCCTGCTGCAGGTGGCACCGAGGGGGAGGTCTGCTTTGCCCAGAGAGTTGTTTGGGGTGTGAGAGGTCTGATTGGGCCCCCATTTCCTGCATGTTACTAAAAGTAGACTGCAGTTGAATCATCTGTAGTGAGTGGTCACAGAGTAGAGCGTTCTAGTGACTTTACCTCTGCTCTGCTTTCTCACTCTGAGCCTGTTAATAATGAGAGCTTGCAGCTGAAGCTCTAGACTGGATAGCAAAGAAGCTGGTATGTGGTGCTCCCTGGAGCAGAGATCATCAGGAATTCAGGCTCCAAACCTGTATTCACTTAGAGAATGTAGGTGAGTGTTTTGGGTCTAGTGACTTCCCCTGTCAAGGACGGTGCTCCTAAGAAGCCACACTTAGAAATTTAAGGGAGGCTGACCTGCAATGGGAAGACCAGCTGGTTACAACTTCAGAGCAGAACAGATAGGCTTCTTGTATAGCCATGTTCCATGCATTTTGCTGATTAACCACTGGTAGACTGAACAGCAGGTAAGAGCACATTAGTGTCACATGCAGGCTGTTCTTTCCCTGTGAAGAATGTAGGGTACTACTACCTGGAGAGCCCCTACCTGGCAACTGGTCCTCAGGACTGTCAGTCTGCAACCATAGGCAGGGTCTGTCAGGTGACTCAACACCCATCTATCCTGTGCCTTACCCCTACTTCTCCCACTCCCTGGTGCGAGCCCCACCTGCCCCATGGCATCCACTGCACCTAGGCAGCAGCCTACAGGGCAGAGGCCGGTTCCTGATCTTCATTCATAGAGCTGGTCCCAGGTTACAGGTACAAACGTTTCCTGAAGGATGGCGGGGCATTTAGAGACTCCCACTCCGTACCCTTTGGTACTGGGGCTTGAAGTCAGGGCCTCATGCTTGCTAGACAGGTGCTCTACCACTTGAGCCTTCCACGAAGGGACATTTAGGTGGAGGATGTTGGGGAAGCACTAGACATGTTTGCCTTGGTCATAAGCTGGCACTGTTTTCTGCTCTCTCCTGAGCAAAGAGGAGTCGCCTTGGCCGGGAGATCCGCCCCAGAAGCAGTGGAGGTGCTTCTCGGGTACCTCCAAGAAGCTCCCTTTTTAGTTCGAGTGGGCACTGGTCCCTATTTATAATGGCTAAGGGCGGAGGGCGATAGGACAGAGGCAAAATGAGCATCCTCCAGAACCTGAGGAGAACTGGCTCTGCTACGGAGTCTGTTCAGCAGCTTTCGTTGTTTACTAGTAAGAAAATTTATTAAAGAATGAATGTAATCAGCTAGCCACTAAATTCGATACCAGTCCTCTGGTCTGGGAAGGGATCGTTCCTGACATTCCACTCGTGATTCCACAAGACCTACAGAGAGCAACGGAGTCAGCCGCCTCTAGCCAGGACCTCGGATGTGCGCGGCTTGACGTCACTTCCGGGTCGGCCCTGATTGGTCGGCCGGCCGCACTGAGCCGAGCGGCCGCTTCTCTGCGGCGCTCAGGTGAGTGTTTCCCCGTTGCGCGTGTACGGGTCCCGCGACTTTCCCCTACGCGCGGCCGGCTCGCGCGGCTCCAGGCCGGGGTCGTCCCTGACATCTACTACGTCCCGGGGTCCTTGACTGACACCCTTCCACTCCGTCCCGCCCCATCTCCCGCCCCGCAAACTTGACTGGCTCATCCTTAGATTGACCCTATTTGCCGCCCAAATTAGACCTACCACCGCCCTGGGGCCCCTTTTCTAACCCCATATCCCACCCCGGCACCCTGACCGATGCTATTCCCCCACTTGCCATCCCTCGGAGTCCCTCGATTAGCGCTATCCCCCTACCAGCCCCATCTCCCGGCCTTGGGAACACCACTGATCCCATTCCTTGACATCCCTCTCTTTTGCACAACCCTCGCCCCTCTTCATAGGTCCCACGCGCTCCCGGAGTCTCTTCACTGGACCCCTCCCCAGCCGCACCACAGGTCAGCTTGTGTGTGCTGAGAGGCCGCACACCCCTTCCTCCTGGTTACCTGAGGCCCTCCCACTCCTGTCCTTCTAAGTTGTTTTTTGGTGGGATGGGTTTGAACTCAGGGCTTCATACTTTAAGCGGGTGCTCTACTGGAGACACGCCTCCAGTCCATTTTGCTCTGGTTATTTTGGAGATGGGGTTTCCGAAAGTATTTAGCCCTGCTGGCCACGAAGTGATTCTTCTGACCTTAGACGCCCAAGTAGCTAAGATTACAGACCTGAGCCACTAGCGCCTGGCTGGTACTGTTAATTTTTAAGGAGCCTGACTTGCTCCTCTGCAAATTCTCTCTACTGGCTCCCACCCTCTGCAAGTCATCTTGCTCTCAGCAGCCAGAGTTCCCAAATGCTCATCTCAGTAGACCTTCCTTCTCTACACCCCACCCTATTTTCTTTCCTGGCTCTCCAAGGCTTTTCTCCCCACAGCTAAGCTGTGTCTGAAACCTTTTTATTTACCACGTTGTTTTATGGCTTTTAATACATATTAAAAATATTTTCCTATAAAAGTTTTAAATAAAAGCAAGTACAGAGAGTGAATTAACAACTACCAACCAGTGACTGGGATTTCCAGTTCTCATTTTGTCAAATTTGTTGAAGCTTTTTGTTGTTGTTGAGACAGGGTTCCTGCTATATACTGGCCTACAACTGGCTATGTAGCCCCAGCCCAACTGGAATTCTCCATCCTTCTCCTGCCTCAGTCTCTGGAGCCCTTGGGATTACAGACTTGCTCCATATACTTGGCTTTCTTAAAAGGAATATTGTTAAAGTAAAATTATGTTTAGACCCAGAACTCCAGGCCCATTCACTTCCTTGGAGGCTCCTCTATTCTGACCAATATTCTTTCAGTCCATTGTGGTTTTTTTTTTTTTTTTTTTTTTTAGTGGTACTGGGGATTGAACTCGGTCTCATGCTGCAAGGCAGGTGTTGTATCTACCATTTGAGCCACTCCGCCTGCTCTGTTTTGTGTTGGGTACTTTCTAGATAAGGTCTCGTGAACTATTTGCCTGGGCTGGCTCTGGACCTTGATCCTCCTGCTCTCTGCCTCCTGAGTAGCTAGCATTACAGGTGTGAGCCACTGGCATCTGGCCAGTCCATTTTCTTATGCTCTTACACACCTAATGTAGCTGTTTCTTTGACATTGATGTGGTCCATTCCTTTCAACCACCATGATTTTGCCCATGTCCCTCGTGTACATTGAGGAGGTGGTCGTTTTATTTTGTTTTGTACACAGGCATCTGGTAGCATTTTTAAGTTTACAGGATTTCCTATAGGGCACATACTGAGAGTTAGGCTTCCTGATGAAAGGTTTGCAGGGTTTCAGCACTACTAAGTAGTGCCAGACATATTTCCAGAGTTCCTATATTAGTTTACTGTCCTACTCATGTCTTCAGGATTTGCTATTATGAAGCTTTTTATACTTTCTCCAGTTTATGGGGAGAGAAGTCTTGTTTTAATTTACATTTCTGTAATTCTTTTTTTTCCTCTGAGATAGGGTGTCATTATGGCTGGACTCCAACTCTTGATTCTCCTGCCTCAGCCTCCCAAGTGCTGGGATTATAGGTGTATATCAGGCACAGCCTTTTCCATAATTCTTTTTTCTGAGGGACTGGGGTTTGAAGTCAGGGGTTTGTGCTTTTTTGTGTGTTTGTTTTTGTTTTTTCTTCTATACATTGTTTTTGCCCTGTGTTTACTATTTTTTTTTAATTATCCTCCTTTGTCTTCCTCAACCTTTAACATTTTGTCTTTATTCTTCCATATAAAGTGAGTATTGTCAACCTGTTCCTGAATGAGACAACTCAGAATACCAGAGAGGAGAGGGAGCAGGGGGCTGGGGTTGTACACATCGACAGTTGGAAGTGGGGCTGGGGAGGGCAGCCCAAGGCAGAAATCAGTCTGTTCTTGGGAGGCCAGTAGTGCCCTGTGGGGAGGGGTGGGAGCCTGGCTAGTGAGGGTGCTGCAAGCAGAGTAGCATCAGCGTTGAGCAGCCTGAGATGTGGAAGAAGGGCCAGTCTGGGTCTCCATGTGCCCCCTTTTTTCTTTTCCTTCAGCTCCTGCCCACTGCCCCCAGGAAGCCCGGGGCACAAGTGATGGCAGCCTTGTTTCCCTCTGCTCCACTTCAGGTTAGTGAGTATCTCCTGGAGGTATGAGGTCTGTCTCCACCAGGGCTTTCCTTGCAAACACCGCCAGGTATGTTTGGTGTGGGATGTTGACAGGGATCCCCCTGTTGTTGCCCATAGCATGCCTCTACTGCCTCTCCCTCCCCTTGGTCCTGGGACCCACCCTTGGCCACACCTGGGGCTGAAGCAGAGTCCTGTTGTTCCAGATCGAGGTGACCTTTGAGGATGTAGCCGTGCTCTTCTCCTGGGATGAGTGGGGCTGCCTGGGCCCTGATGAGAGGGGCCTTTACAAGGATGTGATGCTGGAGACCTATGGGAACCTGGTTTCACTGGGTAAGGCCTTTGAGCAAGTCTCAGCCCTAGGAACAGCCCTGGAGCCTGTGGACTCAGCAGCACTGGGCTGGGAGCCCCACCCCTGGGGTGGAGATAGTGATGCTACCCTGGTTCAGGAATGCCTGGTCTGAAAAGAGGAGTGATGTGTGTATGTGTGTGTGTGTGTGTGTGAACTCACCCTTCTTTAAGCTTCCACAGCAGGCCTGTGGCAGACCCCTACCCAGGTTGGTGGCTCCATACTTCCTGGTTCCTGGGCTCTTCACAGTGACCTCCAAACTATTCTCAGCCCACAAGAGGGTATCAAGCTTCAACCACCCCTCTGCCTGTGCCCCTATCCTTGCCATAGCTCCAGGGCAAGTGACATTTGGCCCATCCCTGCATCCGCAGTACCAACCCCAGGCTCTGTCTCCTTCCCAGGAGCAGGACCTTCAGGTCCTAAGCCTGGGGTGATCTTGCAGCTGGAGCGAGGGGAAGAGCCATGGGTCCTGGACATGCAGGATGCTGAGGGGAGAAAGCATCTGAGAGTCAACGGCTCAGGTGCGTGAGGGGAGCTGCTCCCCCAACTCAGTCACTGAATGAGCATTTGTTGGGGTTCAGAGTGTTTGTTACTGACTTAGGAGTTTTGGGGAGATGCCTCAGGGACAGCATGGGCACCTGAGTATGGCCTCCACTGGAGCCCTGGTCGCTTTTGTCAGCCTGGTGCTTTGGTAGGAGAGTCTAGAGTAATCTTCTGGGAATGTGGTGGGAGTCGTGATGTGGAGGACAGGGAAGGACATTCCAGATAGAGCTGATGTAGGGAGGGGTGCATGTATGCAGGCTGGGGTGCTGTGAGGAGCGGCTTAAGCCTGCAGAGCCCCTGGAGCCTTGCCCTCAGAGCTTGTACTTTACGAGTAGGGTCAGATAAAGGTGTAGTGATAAAGACCAATGCTTCATTCTCCCTCTTCTAAATGAACTCACTTGACAATTATAGAGCATTATGAAAAAGTGAGAAGATATATCTTCTTGAACCTCACTGCCAGACCCAGTTGTATTCTGGAATATTCCTTGCTGTTTCCTTTCTAGTCATTGCCTTTCCACACACACCCACGTAGGAGAGGTGCTTCTTGTGCGTGTGCGTGTGTGTGGGGGAGGTGGTGCTGGGAATTGAACCCAGGGCCTCCGGTGTGCTAAGCAGACATTCTACCTCTGAGGTATCCCCCAGTTCCGAGCACTGCTTCTTCACGTGCCCTGTTGTGCCACTGAATGCAATTTCACTTCTGTGCACACAGTGTTGGTCAGGCTTTCTAAGGATGCGCCAACTGGAAGGCCCTGTCTTCTCTTTCTGCTGCAGTCAGCTATGTCATCTTTTTGTATGTGTCTGATGATGTCCTAAGAAAGAGCTGCTGGTTCAAAGAAATTAAAGTTTTCTCTTGTAAATTTTCTTATTTGAATATACTTACAGAAATGAAACAATCCCTAAGTTTGCAGCTCAGTGAATTTTTATGAAAAATCATCTTCTAGATCAAATTGTAGTCTATGTTCTTTATCCAGGAGCCCTTGGGCCTCCTCTGTCATTTCTCACTGCTTTCCACAGCAGGGAGGAGGTCAACAAGAGGCCCTGTGCCATTTCCATTTGTCTCTCTGGACTCCTGCAGAGCATCTCCTGCTAGACATCAGGAGAACCACTTAAATTTCATACGGCAGCAGTTCTGTTTTGTTGCCAGTGTTCTGTTGTGTGCATATACCACAGTTTCTTTTCCCGTCTACTTGCAGAGAACATTCGCTTGTCCCTGGGTTGGGATTCTCGTGCATGTGTCTTTGGCACACGGGGACCGTGTCTCTGTGGGGTGGAGTCTCAGGGTTACATCTCTAGATGATGTTGCCACACCATTTTTTAAAGCAGCAGCTCCAACATGCAGTCGTGCAGCCTAGGTGAGCTCTATGAGTTGTAAACCCTGAAGTCGTGTGTTGACACCTATACATGTGAGGCAAGGATGGAGGAGCAGGTCCTTCAGGACTGGAAAAGGAGTGATGATGAAAGTGGCCACCATGAGCTGTTTAATCTGAGACTTACTGTTAGGTGCTGGAGTGTTTGAGTCAATCTGTTTAACTGTCATTCTTGTGACTGAGTATGATTGCTGGAGTTAGTCTTGGAGGGGCCTCATGGCAGGACCCCACCTGGGTGCTTGTTGGTATCCACTTTTGGAGAGTGGCCACACAGGAAGAGCTTGTAGTGTAAGTGTCTGATCAAGGGAGGAAGGGACGAAGGGAGGGAAAGATGGAGGCAGGCATCACGGAGCATTCCATGTAGTTGTCTTGGGTCTTAGGTGGTGGTGAGTCACCTAGATCACCTCTTAGGCCTCAGGGAGAGCCCTGGGAGTGGATGTGGCTGGCTAGGGTGAGCTAATAGATCCTGTTCTGGCTGTGCTTCACCTTCTTCCTGCAGATTTGGAACCTGCTTAGCCTTCTGCCTTCCCAGGAAGGCAGCTGATTTTCCTGTTGTGGATTTTGGGGGGGGCGGGCTTCAGACTTTCTCATTCCTAGTTTCTTGTCAGTTTTATCTGTGACTTTTGGAGTCCTCCTTGCTCTTATTTCCATGGTGCTATGAAGCCTTTGTCTTCTGTTCCTTTGGCAGTAGGGGGACAGGTGTCCTACAGTTCCTGTCAGGATGGCATAGATGTTAGTATGTTGGGCATGGGTTTTAATGCTTAAACTGGCACATGCCTGTGGTCCTGAGCAAGGTCCCTAGGCCTCTGAGCTCTAAAGCTTCATCTCTGCTAGGCTCTTGTGACTGGGATGGTTGACTTGGTGCCTTCCTTCCAACATCAGGTATTCTGTTTGTTGTTTCAGCTCGTGGGACCAGGATTGAGTACAAGGAGTTGATTTCCGGGGAGACATTTGATGGGCAACAACTATACGAACTCAGGGGGGCCGTAACCCAAGGACCTGAGCCAACAGAGGCCCATAATCATATCAGAGAGCTACAGGAGAGCTTGCAGAAGGCAGTAGGGCAGAGAGGCCCCAGACTAGTCACACTGACCAACAAGGAGAGTGGCCAGGAGACTGGGGGAAGCCTCACGTCAGTGTCAAGCCTTTTCCCTGATCAGAGACCTCACAAATGTGATATATGTGAGCAGAGTTTTGAGCAGAGATCACATCTCAACAACCACAAGCGTGTACACAGGTCAAAAAAGACAAATTCAGTTTGTAATTCTGGTGAAATCATCAATGAAAATTTAATTGTTAGAGAAGATCAGAAAATTCCTACTGGGAAAACATTGCATACTTGTGGTCACTGTGGGAAGACCTTCAGGTATAGCGCTAACCTTGTCAAACATCAACGACTTCACAGTGAGGAGAAGCCCTATAAATGTGGTGAGTGTGGAAAAGCCTTCAGCCAGAGCTATGAGTTCATCAATCACCGAAGGATGCATTCTGGGGAAATCCCCTACCGGTGTGGTGAGTGTGGGAAGACATTTAATCAGAGGCCTAACCTCATGAAGCATGAAAGGATTCACACTGGGGAGAAACCCTACAAGTGTAGCGACTGTGGGAAACACTTTAGCGCATACTCCTCCCTTATTTATCACCAGAGAATCCACACTGGAGAGAAACCCTATAAATGTAATGATTGTGGGAAAGCCTTCAGTGATGGTTCAATCCTTATTCGACACCGCCGGACTCACACTGGAGAGAAGCCATTCAAGTGTAATGAATGTGGCAAAGGCTTTACCCAAAGTTCTAACCTCATTCAACATCGGAGAATTCACACTGGAGAGAAACCCTATAAATGCAACGAATGTGAGAAAGCCTTCATCCAAAAAACTAAACTTGTTGAGCATCAGCGAAGTCACACTGGAGAGAAGCCCTATGAATGTAATGACTGTGGCAAAGTTTTCAGCCAAAGCACACATCTCATCCAGCACCAGAGGATCCACACAGGAGAGAAGCCATACAAATGTAGTGAGTGTGGAAAGGCCTTTCACAACAGTTCCAGACTCATTCACCACCAAAGATCTCACCATGGAGAGAAGCCATACAAGTGCAGTGATTGTAAGAAGGCCTTTAGCCAGAGTACTTACCTGATTCAGCACCAGAGGATCCACACTGGAGAGAAGCCCTACAAGTGCAGTGAGTGTGGGAAGGCCTTCCGGCACAGCTCCAACATGTGTCAGCATCAGCGGATTCACCTTCGGAGAGACTTCTCCACATGATGGTGGAGAATAGTTCATGAGGCAGAGGCCTGTGTGCATGACCACCACATGCCCTAGCACCCCATATTGCCCTGTTCACCTTGTCTTCAGAAGGTGAAAGGACATTTCTGTTTAATTGAAGAAACCTTTTTCCTTAACCCAAAAGCAGTGCATGTTCATTTTAGAGAAACTGAGAAAAAAAGAAACTTCTATAGTCTCCCCACTTAGAAAAAGAGAATTCATTGCTTCTGATTTAGAACATGTTTCCTTTCAGACACACTGGAGAGCATTTTAGAAAGAAAGCTCTGCTGGGTGCGGTGGTGCACCCTGGTATTCCAACACATGGGAGGCTGAGGCAGAGGCTATTTGAGCTCAGGAGTTACAGACAAGCCTGAACAACAAAGTGAGACCCCCCCATCTCAGAAAAAAAAATAGAAAGAAAGAAGGAAGGAAAGAAGAAAGAAAACACTGTAAATTACAGCACCTAGTATCTCCACTTTTGCTATTTCCTAAGTGCCAGAAAATTCACACTGCATAGAATTCCACACATGGGTATATTCTCATATATTGTGAATATATAGAATTGAAATCACCTTTTTTATTGGAATAAAATTTACATAACATAAAATTTACCATTACCATTGGTGGCATTAAGCACATTCACAGTATTGTACGACCATCACCTCTATTTCTAGAACTATCATCCCAAACAGAAACTCTATACCTATTAAACAATAACTCCCCATTACCCCCTTCTCCCAAATGCTGATAACATCAATTCTTTTTTTAAGTGAATTTCCCTATTGTAGAAACTTCATATGATTAGAATCATATACTATATGTCCTTTTATGTCTAGCTTAGTTCATTTAGCCTGTTTTCAAGATTTGACCATGTTATAATCTAAATCAGAACTTTATCCCTAGGCTAGGGGTGTGCCTCAGTAGTAGAGCTCTTGTTTAGCATGCACAAGGTCCTGGGTATGATCCCCAGCACCATAAAAAAAAAACAGCTTCCTTTTTTGTGAATGAATAATACTCCATTTTATGTATGTGTCATATTTTCTTTCTTTTCCCATCCTCCCTCCCTCCTTTCCTTTCTTCTTCCTTCCTCCCTTCCTTCCTGTTTTTTCATGACCCTGGGATTTGAACTCAGGGCTTCATGCTTGTTAGGTAGGTACCACATTTTCTTTCTCTCTCTTCTTTTTTTTTTTAAGCAGTACTGGAGTTTGGACTTGGCCTCACGCTTGCTAGGCAGGCACTCTTACCACTTGAGTCCCTCTGCCAACCCTTTTTTTGTGATTTTTTTTTTTTTTTTTTTAGAAAGAGTCTCAAGAACTATTTGACTGGGGCTGGCTTCAAACTGAGATCCTCCTGAACTCTGCCTCCTGAGTAGCTAGGATTACAGGTGTCTATTTATCTGTCACTGAACAGTTGGTGGTGTTTCTACCCTTAGACTTTTGTGATTAGTGCTGGTATGAATGTTAGTATACAAGTATGTGTTTGAGTTAGTATTATGAATACTTTCAGACAAATACCTATTTGTTTAAATTTCTGAGGAATGGTCAAACTTTTCCATAGCAGCTGCACTACTTTATGTCCCTTATCAGCAGTGCACGAGGGTTCTAGTTCTTCTCCATCCTCACTGTGTTATTTCTGCTTTTTTTTTTTATCATACCCTAATGGATTGAAGTTGTATTATGGTTTTGATTTGCATGCCCTGATGACCAATGATGATGAGCATATTTTCAGGTATTTATAACCATTTGTATTTTTCTTTTTTTTGAGAAATGTCTATCCAAGTCCTCTACCCATTTTTTAATTGGGTTGTTTTCCAGTGTTGAGTTGTATATATTTTGGATATTAATCCCTTATCTGATACATGATTTTTCAATATTCCATTTTGTAGTTTGTCATTTTCACTGTCATCATGAACAAAAGTATGTAGGTTGTCTTTGTCGCTCTCATGATGGATAGCAGTATCAATTTTAATGAAGTACAATTTATCTACTTTTTCTTTTGTTGCCTTTGCTTTGAGTGGCATACATCAGAAATCATTCTTGCTGGGCACTGATGGCTCACACATGTAATTCTAGCTACTCAGGAGGCAGAGATCAGGAGGATCACAGTTCAAGGCCAATTGTTGGGCAAACAGACCCTAGCTTGAAAATACCCAACACAAAAAAGGGCTGGTAGAGTGGCTCAAGAGGTAAAGCACCTGCCTAGCAAGTGTGAAGCCCTGAGTTTAAGCCACGGTACTGCCAAAAAAAGAAAAAAAAATCATTGCAGGGCTTGGGGCATGGCTCAAATGGTAGAGTGCCTTCTTAGCAAGTGTGATGCGGAGTTCAAACCTTTGTACCACAAAAACAAATAAGCAAGTAGAAATTGTTCCCAAGTCCAAGGTCATGAAGCTTTTCCACTATTTTTTTTCTAAGAATTTTATAGTTTTAGGTCTTACATTTTGGTCTTTGATCCATTTTGAACTAATTTGTTTTTGGAGACAGCTGTGTAGCCCAGGCTACATAGCTTGATTCTCTTGCCTTAGCCTCCCAAATAAATCACAGGGGCGTGGAACCATGCCCAGCTTTTGAGCTAGAGAGAGAGAGAGGGAGTGAGTGTGTGTAGTGGCAGCTTAAGCTCAGGGCCCCACACTTGCTAGGCAGGTGCTCTGCCGCTTGAGCCCTGTTTTGTATTGGGTATTTTCGAGATAGGATCTCGAGCACAATTTGACTGGTGCTAGCTTCAAACCATGATCCTCCTGATCTCTGTCTCCTGAGTAGCTAGGGTTACAGATGTGAGCCACCGGTATCTGGCTTTAGCTAGTTTTTGTATATGTGTAAGGTAAGAGTTCAACTTCATTCTTTTACAGATGGATATCAAGTTTTCACAGCAATATTACTGGAATAGATTCTACTTTTCAAATTGAATGGTGTTTTAGTCAGTTCAGGATGCCTTAACAAAGTATCACAGACTGGGTGGCTTAAACAATGGAGATTTATTTCTCGTGGAGGCTAAGAAGTCCAGATCATGGTATTGGCCTATTCATTTCCTGGTGAGGTTTGCTTTCTGACTTGCAGATGGCTGCCTTTTTGTTGAGAGAGAGGGTGGGGTTTTGTTGTTGTTGTTTTATCATGAAATTGTCTTAAATTTTGTGAAATGTTTTTTCTTCATCAGTTGAGATGATCAAGTAGATTTTTCTTCATTCTATTAATGTGATGTATTACACTAATTAATTTTCATGTTGACTATTCTAACATTCCAGGAATGAACCACACTTGGTCATGGTGTATAATGCTTTAAATATGCTTCTGAATTTGTTTTAATACCAGTTTTTTTTTTCCAGTGCTGGGAACTGATCTTTCTGATCTCTGCACCTCCTGAGTAGCTAGGATTACAGTTGTAAGCCACTAGCACCCAACCCTCTCCTTCATTTTTGAAGGACATTTTTGCTAGATACTGAATTCTTGGGTGTTTTTCCTTCTCAGGCATGTAAATATGTCATCCCACTACTTATTTTCTCCATAGTTCTAAGAAAAAATCTGTTGATCTTATTGAAGCTCTCTTTTATGTAATGTCTTACTATGTGTTGATGCTTTCAGAGTTTTCTTTGTCATGGGTTTCAATAATTCAGCTATAATATGTATCTCTGTGGATTTTTTTTAGTTTCTTCTGTTTGGAGTTTGGTGAGTTACTGGGATGTATATATTCATGTCTTCTCACATATTTCAGAAGTTTGGGGCCATTATTTCTTCAAATGTCTTTTACTCCTGGAAATCCTGTGATGTGTTTATTAGCACCTTCAATGATGTCCTACGGTCTCTCAGGATCTGTTCATTTTTCTTTTTTTTCAACTCCTCAAACTGGATTTCAATTGGCTTAATGTCCAGGGTTTTTTTGTTTTTTTTTTTTTTTTTTTTGGTGATACTAGGATTTGAACTGCTTGAGCCACACCTCCAGTTCTTTTTGCTCTGGTTATTTTGGAGATAGGGCATTCCTTTTTGCCTAGGCCCTGATGACAGGTATGCAACACCACACCTAGCTTTTTTCCATTGATAGGGTCTCACAAAATTTTTTCCCAGGCTGGCCTGGAGCTGTAATCCTCTTTATCTTAGCCTCCTGTGTAGCTTAGATTGACAGGCACATGTGACTGCACCCAGCTATTGGTAGAGATGGGGGGGTATCACTTTTTGCTCAGTCTGGCTTTAAACCATGATCCTCCTGATCTTAGCCTCCCAAGCAGCTAGGATTACAAGTGTGAGCCACCACAGCTGGCTTGAGTGAGTTTTTCATTTCAGTTATTGTACCTTTCAGTTCCAGAATTTGTTTTTCTTTTTGTAAGTTATATTTCTTGGTATTTTCATTTTGTTCAAATATAGTTTTCTTAATTTTATGTAGTTCTTTAATTCATCAAACATATTTAAGACAGTTGATTTAAGATCTTTATTTTGGAGTGCTGGGAATGGAACCCAGGGCCTTTCATATACTAAGCATGGATCCTACATTGAGCTATACTCCCCAGACCTGATTTAACATCTTTGACTAATAATTCCAGTGTCTGGACATCCTCAGGGATGGTTTCTATCAAATTCTTTTTATCCCCATGAATGGATCACAGTTTTCCTGTTTCTTTTATATTTTGTAATTTTTGGTTGAGAACTAGATATATTGACTTATGTTGTGGTTACTTTGGAATTCTAAATTTCTCACTCCTAAGGGATTGCTGAATTTTGGCTGTGGGTTGGAGCCATCAGTCTGTGGCTTTTCCAAACTCTTTTTGCAAAGTATGTGGTCATTGAAGTTCTGTTCCATTATTTATATGGTCATCCAATAACCTGAAAATATTTCCTTACATGTCTGAGCCTCAAAAAGGGAAACAAGTAAAATATTACTTCTTTAACTGGAAACCTTGACCTGTGAGGGTTAAGATAATGGCAGCCAGCCTCTGTGCCAGTCTGACTGGAGGAAGTATGTCACCAGGATTGCATTTGAAGGTTATATCGGATACCCAGTCCTTTCCTTGCTCTCTGCTTTCTGTCCATCATAAGGTGAAGAAACACCTCCACCACACACCACCACGATGTTCTGTCCAACTGTATAGGGCCAAGCAAACATGGACTGAACCCTTTGAAACTGTGAGCCAAAATAAGTTTTTCCTGCCTTGTTTGTCACACATGTTGTCACAATGACACAAAAGGAGTTAATACAATGCGCTTGTGAA